TGGGAGCCTCCTGGGAATCTCCAGGGGATCCCTGGGGCATGTCCTGGGCGTCCTGCGGCCTCCTGAAGCTCTCTGGGGCCTCCTGGGGCTCCCGGGTCCCAGGGAGGATATGTAACATGTGGTCTTCTGGGCCCCCAGGCTGGACCACCTCTTGCGCAGCATCTGGGAACTCAGAGCGGCGAGAATGTCTTGTGCGAAACGGGCCAGACCACCTTGCGCACGGCATCTCAGAGCTCAGAGTTGCGAGGATGTCTCAGGCGAGACGGGCCGGACCACCTCGCGCAGGGCATCTCAGAGCTCAGAAGTTTGAGGATGTCTCAGGCGGGCTCCCAGGGTCCCAGGGATGATATGTAACATGTGGTCTTCTGGGCCCCCAGGCTGGACCACCTCTTGCGCGGCATCTGTGAGTTCAGAGTTGCGGGAATGTCTTGTGCGAAACAGGCCGGACCACCTTGCGCACGGCATCTCAGAGCTCAGAGTTGCGAGGATGTCTCAGGCGAGACGGGCCGGACCACCTCGCGCAGTGCATCTCAAAGCTCATAAGTTCGAGGATGTCTCCGGCGAAACGGGCTGGACCACCTCTCGCGCGGCATCTCCGAGGTCAGAGTTTCGAGGATGTCTCATGCGAAACGGGCCGGACCACCTCGCGCGCGGCATCTTGGAGCTCAGAGTTGCGAGGATGTCTCAGGCGAAACGGCCCGGACCACCTCTCGCGCGGCATCTGGGAGCTCAGAGTTTGGAGGATGTCTCAAGCGAAACGGGCCGGACCACCTCTCGCGCGGCCTCTCAGAGCTCAGATTTAGGAGGATGTCTCAGGCGAAACGCTCAATCCCGGACAACTCAGAAACGAGAGTTGTGAGGATGTCTCAGGCGAAACGGGCCGGACCACCACATTTGTTTGAGGATGTCTCTGCTTAGCTTTCCCTCGGCCGGAGTTAGCTTCTATCACAACAGCACCCCGTTCAGCAAGCTGTTTGGGGAAAAATGTGGCTCCCGCTTTTAGCGCCGGGCGCATTCGTTGCAAGATGTACAGAAGCTTCACATATTGAGGCTGGGTCGTCTTCAATATGTGGCTCTCGCCTTTGCGCCAAGCGCACTCGGTTTAACAGCTACAAAAATATTATGGATTCCCATGGGTCACGTATCAGAAATTGTGTTCTGGAGCGGTTCAGGATTGTCAGGGCGCCACAGTGACGTTGATTCGCGGTGTTGGAGTACCACGAATGGTGTTCTGGCACGATTCAAGATCGCCAAGACGCAACAGTCAGCTTAGCTCGGGGTGTCGACATCCTTAGAACGGTGTTTGGTGCGCTCCAAGATGTTCACACGTTTGCCCCCCAACGGGCCACTTCCCTCAGTGGACATGACCCCTTGTAGGGGCCTGAGAGGAGGGATCTTGGAGGGGGCGTATTTCACCATCGTCCGTGAATAACTCCTCCTCCTCCTTTTTCCTCCTCCTTCCTCCTCTTCCTCCTCCTCCTTTCCCTGTCCTATTTCTCCTCGTTCTCCTCTTCCCACTCCTCCTCCTACTCTTCCCCCCCTCCTCCTTTTTCCACCGCCCGCCCCATGCCTTGAGCCTGTGTCAGGGTCATAAGCTCATCGTTGTCGTTGTCGTCATGGTCGTCGTCGTCGTCATTCTGGGTCGGCGGCACCGGCCGTAAGGCCTTCACAATCGAGCAGAGAGTAGAAACATGTAGATGAGTAGAACCAACTAGAATAGGAGTAGGCTGGGGTCGAGTAGAGCAGAATCGAGTAGGCAGATGGTCAAATTGAGTCTGGTATAACACAGTAGAGCACGATTGTTTAGAGCAAAGTTGAGTACAGGATATGACAATCGAATCGAGCACTGCCATAGTGGAGTAAGAACAGGTTAAAGAACGGCAGGGTTGAGTCGGGCATAGCAGGGTAAAGTAGAAGAGAACGGAGTCGAGTAGAATACTATGCTCGAGAATAACATTCTAGGTGTAGAGTAAATCCGAGTCGGGAAGGAGTGCAAGATAACAGGCTCGAGTAGAATAGAGGACTGGAGATCATTATCATCGCCGTCGTCATCTTCGTCACCATCGCTTTCACAATGATCATCGTCACCACCACCACCACCACCACCACCATCATCATCATCATCATCATCATCATCATCATCATCATCATCATCATCATCATCATCATCATCACCATCATCGACCCATCGTCAAAATGAAGGGCGGAGAATCAGTCCCTTGACGGCAGTAGGCGGGTAGGCCACATTCACAAATGGGTATGCTGTACACTTTACCAGTTGGGTGGGTCACGAAGGAAGACACGGGGGACGGGAGAGAGGAAGGTCAACGGCGAGGAGTCGTGGCAAGCGATAGCAATTCCAAATTCGGCAATGTGCGTTTACCCTTCGGCTTCACCCACTCACTCAACCAAAAACAACTGCGACCTGAAGCCCGTAATAGTTCGGGTTCTGGGAAAGCCTCCGGTAGTAGAACGTCCACGTGAGCCAATCGACGGCGTC